AACACCCAGTTACAATTCTCTTGCATTTCTGACGCCGGAAATCCGAGTCCCATTCTTTAATGCTGACGGCGGTGACTGATAAAAGTGCCTAGGCAGTTCTCATAGCATATTTGGGAGAGGGTTACCTCTTGTAATCACTAGCGTGGCTTTTGACACTGGCAGAGTTTTCCCTGTTAGAGCGGGGAAACTGTAATGACCAGTTCTGACTTGACAGCTGGCCATACATAGGCTGGAAAAACGCTCCATTGAGCACCAGGGCTCAGATGTTAGCGCCCGCAGAAGTGGTTAATACAGGCATCCCGACCTCATCAGCGCAGCCATCCACTGAGTGTCGCTATACAACCACCTGAGAGAATCCTAGTGCCTGGTCGAAAGCAGAGCAAAGTGGAAGTGCTCTGTCCTGCGGTTGGATGCGGGAATAATAACCCCCCCCCCCTTCTAAAAATGACCGTGCACTAAACTCCAGGGGTTGGTACCTGTTCTGAGAAGTAGGCTGGATCTCTGGAACCTACTCCCCTGTCCTAAATGTAACCTTGATCCTCATAGCCTCCCGAAATTTAACTTGCATTAGAGGAGGTCCAGGTTGCCGCACTATACCCGTCGAAAAATCCGGCCAGACTAGTTAATGTCAATCTGGCGTGATTCCGAAGACTCTCGACGTCAGCCGCTACAGCGTTCGGGTATCGCAGTCAGATTGGTCCCTGACACTGCTTACGCCTTTTCCGTCCCAGGTTGGAATGTGGTTGGTTGAAGATGGGAATTAAGCCATTTATTTGCAGTGAAACCTAGGTTATCGATTTTTGGCGAAACGTAGGAAGACCTGAATCCCATTGCATGAGAAATGCGGCTTGACAGAAGTAGACTGGGATGGATTTGCAGCGCATAGAATGTCGAACTCAATGAGCGACCTCGCAATAGCGGATATGCGGGAATAATTGCGCCGATAAGAGTCAAGTACCTCCAAAAACTCTCAGGGCTTCCATCTACGGTCCTCTCCACTGTATTACATGCAGGGCTTTATTTCAGATCTTAATCAGAGTTGTTGGCAAAAGGCAGAGGTGGCGGGAAAAAGAAGCCCCACTTGGTTACCATTACGTACATCCAAAAAGTGACCGGGAAACGACGCCGCTGATGAAATTTCTAATAGTACTGCAGGATCCGGTCAGGGAATATCGTTACCAAGCCTGGAAATCGGAGAGCTGGCCGCATGGCTTGAGCATTGTCGCCCAACGGAATGCTTCGTAATGACTTGCTTGGTGGTGACAGTTCGACCGTCGTTGTTGTCGATGTCCACCATGTGCTCCATAGCAAGGTTGGAACAGGCGCGGTGACTTGTGCAGTAATTAGTTTACAGTGATAGTAGACTTGCGCGGCGTCTACAGGAAACCAGGTGCCAGATGACCGCCAACACATATGCGGTTGCGAGGTTCCCAGACATTTCATTGAGAGAAGCAGACGACGGCCACATGAGCAGCAACCCGAAGTCTGGAGGACCATTCCCTACGTCAAAGGGGTCTCCGAAGCGGTCTCGCGACTGTTACCACCCACCAGAGTAGGCATAGCCCATCGACCCCAAGCAACAATTCGACGTCGCCTGATGCAACCCAAGAACCCAGTGCCACCAACTGAAACCTCAGCAGTCGTTTACAAAATAAATTGCAATGAGGGCGACTGCAACTATGTGGGCGAAACAGGGCGGAAATTGCAAACTCGCCTACAAGAGCACAAATCAGCCACTCGGAGGTTAGACCCTAACTCTCAACTAGCAACACACGTTGGAGAAACAGGGCATACTTTTGACCTCCAGAGGGCTACCATCTTAGGCCGAGGCAACACAAAAGCAGAACGGCTAACTCTCGAGGCGTGGTTCTCCTATTCCCACTCTATCAACAAGCATCTGGACCTTCCTGCAGCTTACAAAGTCCTACATCATCACAATCGTAGAGCTCAGGACCAAACAACCACACCGGACTTAAGAAGACCCACTCAGCTTCTCTCGACGGAGTGGTGACTCACAAAGCACACAGGTAAAACGCTCGTCCACCATCTCCCGAGAGGCTGAGGCAGCGAGAGGAGAGAAAAATCGATCAGCATGAGGCCGACCAACACAAGATGCCACTTTAAATTAAACTTCTGATCGATTAAGTGCATTTTACGCTTTGACAATGAAGAGCCGACCCAGCTCTTTGAAACGTCAGCAATTAAATAAACCTGTTCCGGAGAGCCTATTTTTTCTTCAAATAGTAGACTTGCGCCGCGTCTACAGGGAACCAGGTGCCAGATAACCGCCAGCACATATCCGGTTGCGAGGTTTATGGTTTGCTGAATCATGACATTGTAGAAGCACACGATCCTTAAAGCCCACAGGGGTGAGACACAGCCCTGCCTTTAGTCTGGGCCACCACCCTTCAAGGACTGAGTGACTAGTCAGTCACCAACTGCGAGGCAATAACCGCACACATACCTGGTGATAAAAAATGCCAGTACATCCATGTGGAGCATTTTTAATCAATAAAAGAAGGTAGAAAGAGTAAAGCAGATTAATGGAGGAACATACGAAGGTGGTCCGCTACTTAGGGTTTGCGAAATGGTTAGGTTGCACTTACGCGTCTATTGA